TGGGGCCGGCTCCACTTCCTGGCCCGCCGGCTTCAGGGGCTCCGGGGGAGGCCCAACCATCGCGTCGCCACCAGCGTCACCATTTTGCTGATGCAGAGCCTTTAGCCCGCCCGTTGTCCCAACCTGGGTAGACAGTGTTTCTGCCATTGGGCCCTTATAGCCACTCCAAGTCCTGGCAAAGCTAGGGCGCTGGAGGTGGTAGCGCCACAGTCCCAGAACCCCGGGCCATCCGCTGCGGCTCACCCACATAACCACGCTACCCCCACTCCGGGGTCGCGATCTGAGGACGTCACTCGGCCCCAGCAAATCAGAGAGGTCCAGTCCCGAGGCGGGGTCTGCGTTGAGTGAGCGAATAAGTGTTACTCGAGTTGAATTAGGTGAATTGAGTGAGCGGCGTTAAGACTGTAAATGTCTTACCAAAAGTGACCTTATGCAGATGTCTTCCTATTAGGAGATACGACGTTATTTATAAAGGAAACCCTTGGAATTGCTCCGTGTAAAGGCCATGGCAGCAGTTGGTAGTGTAGATTCCGATTACGTAGTCCCTTCGGTCTGGAGAAATGCTTGAAAGGAGCTTTATTTAAAACAAAACAAAAACTAACAACCAGAATAAAGATTGCTAAATTCTGCGAATATACTAAAACCCACTGTATTGTATACTTTAAAAGGGTCAATATTACAGTATGTGACATATCTCAACAAGATTGTTATATGTGTATTTACAGCACACACACAAGCACCCCAGAAGCAATGTGTTCACATCTGTGTTTCCCCTAACAGCATGAGGATTAGAGATCCCCATTCGCCTCCCATTAGAGGATATATTGCGAGGCTCTTAATTGCAAAATAAACCAATTCTGGCTAACTTCATCAGAGAGGGAATTATGGAAAGAATATTAGTACCATCGAATTCACAAGACAGGTGGAGAATAGTCTCAGAAAAGGGCCAAATCAAGGAAAACCAAGGCTTTTGAAAGCCTGGCTTCAGGAATGTCAGGGAAGAAACCCAGTTGGGGTGCTGTAGACACCACACACTATGTTGTTCCAAAGGACCCATTTTCCTGCAGCCCTGCCACCCCTTGGAGGCCCATAAATCTCCTTGTGTCTCTCTGTCCCTCTCCCAAAGTTCAGAGTCCTGCAGGGGAGGACTTCCATCAGGCAAACCTCATTGGTCTGAGCCCTCACTTCCAGGTGCCTGGGGAAGAATTTAACTCCTCCTTTTTTTTTGAGACGGAGTCTTGCTCTTGCCCAGGCTGGAGTGCAGTGGCTTGATCTTGGCTCACTGCAACCTCTGCCTCCTGGGTTCAAGCGATTCTTCTGTCTCAGCCTCCCAAGTAGCTGGGACTACAGGCGCTTGCCACCACGCCCAGCTAATTTTTGTATTATTAGTGCTGGGATTACAGGCATGTGCCACAGTACCCGGCCAAGACTCTAACCCCCTTTAGTATCCAGAGTGAGATTCATCCAAATAAGGAGGCATTTCAATGTTAGTTTGAAAAAACAAAAACAAAAAAACTGGACACAGTCTAATTCTTATCCTATGCATTTGTATTCTGGAGAGGAAAAAGGAACATCTTTTTTAGCCAAATTTCTTCTTCAAGTTGTCAGTCTCACTAAACTAACTGAGGGGCTGCAGCTGAGATATTCACAGCTGTAGAACTCCATATGCTGAAAAGCCTGATTCCTGACTCCCTCCAGAAATAAGAGGTAGAATTTTCCATTGATTGTGGGGTATATTAGAACCAAATTACTTCACAGGAGAGACATCATCCCTCAACTCTGTCATCTTATTACAGTGAGATATTTACAGTGAGAGTAGAACCTTATCCAAAAGAAAAGTATTTATTCTTAGCCAGCTTCTCTGCTCCATAGCATTGGGGCGGGATAATTAAATGAGTAAAATACTTTGAATAGTGCCTGGCAAAACTGTGAAGACAGAAAACAGCAGAATCTTGTTCCCCCTCCCCTTCTGACCTGCTAAATGAGAATTTGCATTTTAACATGGTCCCCAGGTGATTTTTCTGCATGTCAAAGTTTGAGAAGCACTAGCATAGACCATGTAGAATAGATATTTGTCATATTCTATAAACAGCATCTTCTGAACACCCTTCTTTTGGGGGGGGGGGGATTTCTCACATTACGTTACTGCCCCCTAGAGGTGGAAGCTAGAGCCTTCCCACACTCTGCTGGAGCTTGGACAGAAGCATCCGATCTGGGCTCCATCTCTCAAGCAGAGACTTTGGTTCAGAGGCACACAGCCGAGGAAGACGGCCCAGTGTGAAATCTATGTCTAACAAGGCAGCATTGGACGCATCTAATCTGGGAGGCCAACAGTAAGGGAGGTTCTCATGTCCAGTGCCCACAACAAATGGTGCCAGCTATTTATGTTCAGTGGCCATAGGATGTTCCCTGTGCAGTCTCTCAGTGAGGTTTAGATACTCTTCCTGGCTGTATAGACCTAAAGCCTGACTCTCCACCCACCTTGAGGTTCTGTGAACTACTTAATATAGTTGGAGGAATGTCTGGAGCAGACACAGTGCAAAGCATGATTTAAGGGAAAAACAGTTATACCAGGACAAGAAGCTATGGCCCAGGAGGCAGCATTCAGTATCGTAAAGATACCCATTGTATGACAAGCTTGGGGCAAGAGCCACTTCTCCTGATAAAGGAGTTGTAGGACCTTGCTCTAGTTTTTGTGGACAGCTGCCCTGAGACTCTCAATGCTTTGAGCATCTGAGGGCTTAAAACCCTTCTGGAGGCCGGGCGCGGTGGCTCAAGCCTGTAATCCCAGCACCGTGGGAGGCCGAGGCGGGTGGATCACGAGGTCAAGAGATCGAGACCATCCTGGTCAACATGGTGAAACCCCGTCTCTACTAAAACTACAAAAAATTAGCTGGGCATGGTGGCGTGTGCCTGTAATCCCAGCGACTCAGGAGGCTGGGGCAGGAGAATTGCCTGAACCCGGGAGGCGGAGATTGCGGTGAACCGAGATCGCGCCATTGCACTCCAGCCTGGGTAACAAGAGCGAAACTCCGTCTCAAAAAAAAAAAAAAAAAAAAAAAAAACCCTTCTGGATAATTGCACCTTGGTGACTGTGAACTTTATTAGCTCTTGTTACTGTGCTGCTTGAAAAGCATTTTCCTATATAACTCATTGGAAGCTGCCAGCAGGTGGCAGTAACTCTGACAGCTTTGTTACTGCTGTGTGACTTAAAGCATTCTCCTATAAATTTTTTTTAAAGTAGCTTGCCAATAGATAGAGGTATTGCACACTGCACCCTCTTCACTGCACACAGCCCACCTCTATGCCTCGGTGACCTAATGGGAGTGGACCCCTTACTGCACACGGCCCACTTCCTTGCCTTGATAACCTAATGGGAATGAACCCCTTGCTGCGAAATGTCCACCTCCTAGCCTAAGTGACCTAATGGGAATGGACCACTTGTTTTATTGCTCACGACCCTAGCACTATCCTTAAAGATGACTTCACTCACTGCCCTGCTCCCTAACCTATACACAATAAATACTGACGCTTCTAGACATTCAGGGCCTCACTTAACTTTGCTTATAGGTGGCGTGGGCCCCCTGAGCCCATCTGAGTTTTCCTTGTACTTCTGTGTCCTGTCTCTTTATTTCTCAGATCCTGTGCCTCAGCACAGCATAAGGGACACCCCACGACGCTATGGGGCCCTCAGCCCTACACATGGTGGCATGCGCTTGTAGTCCCAGCTACTCAAGAGGCTGAGGCAGGAGAATCGCTTGAACCCAGGAGGCGGAGTTCCAGTGAGCCGAGATTGCACCACTGTACTCCAGCCTGTGTGACAGAGCAAGACTCCATCTCAAAACAAAACAAACAAAACACAATACCGTCACCATTAGCTATGTGCCGTACAATAGCTACATGTGGCTAATGAAATTTAAATTCATTAACATTAAAAAAAAATCTGAGACAAGATCTCATTCCCATCATCCAGGATGGAGTGCAGTGGCATGATCTTGGCTCACTGCAGCCTCAACTTCTGAAATCAGGTGATCCTCCCACCTCAGCCTCCCTAGTAGCCGAGATTACAGACATGAAACACCGTGACCAGCTAAATTTTTTTGTATTTTTAGTACAGACGAGATTTTGCCACATTGCCTATGGTGGTCTCTAAATGGGATCACATAAGGCCCCCAAAGTGTTAGGATTACAGGCCGGGGGCGGTGGTGCAACTCCACCTCCTGTGTTCAAGCGATTCTCCTGCCTCAGTCTCATGAGTAGCAGGGATTACAGGCATGCACCACCACGCCCAGCTAATTTTTGTATTTTTAGTAGAGATGGGGTTTCACCCTGTTGGCCGGGCTGATCTCGAACTCCTGACCTCAGGTGATCTACCCGCTTCGCCCTCCCAGAGTACTGGGATTACAGGCGTGAGTCACTGCGCCCAGCCGTCTATAGCTCTTTACCGTTATTTGTAAACTTTTAGGCCTCCATGGCGGACCCCCGTTCTAAACAACTAAGCTGTAAGGATATCCGGGTCGTATACCACATCATATGTGTCTTGAATTCAAGCTTGACACGATGCTTAGAACACAGCAGGAGTTTGCTATCTATTGACTGAAGAAAAGCTTCATAACTTGATAAATGAGACATGGGTCTCCTCAAAATAAGGAAAGAAGCCACGGAAGTGCTCTAACTAGGGGAACGAAGGGGTGAAATTTTTGGACGACAAACACAGGCGGAGATAATTGTGAAGAAGGTGAACTGGCTCCGGAGACCACGAAGTCAAAAATCTTGGAAATTGGGCTTCCCTATCCAAGCAGGGGCTGGAACCTTGGATCTACAAGGAATCAACTCGGCCTTCGGGAGGGGCAATCCGTTTCACGGCAACCAGAGCCCCGCCCACCGCTCGCAGCTCCGCGTTTCTTCACCCGCCGAGCTCCTCTCGACCAATCGACGCACAGAATATCGTCGGGTAGGAAGGTAGTTGGAGGACTCCTGGGATCCGTCACTCGGAGACTCCGCCCCTCTTGATTTCCTCTGAACTGCGGGCGACAGAGCTGAGCCAAGCGTTTGCTGGGCAGCTGTTGCGGTGAGTGAGCTGGGGCTGGGGTGCCTAACGTTTTGGATCTTCTACTCCGGCCCGGCCCCGAAACACCACATAGAAGCCTTGGGACCTGATTCACCCAATCCAGACAGCCCTAGAGATCTGAGCGACTGAGGCCTGGGGTCTGAACGCCAGAATTTCCTGCGCGGGTCTGGACGCCCTGCGCTGGGGTAAGAGGGCATGCGGGGCTCTGGTGTGAACAAAGTCTTGGTTTTGGGTGGCTTGAGACGACTTTGGGTGGGGGTTCACTGGCACCCTAGACATCAGTTCACCCAGGACCGCCGTGCCATATCTGGCCCTTTTACTTCCGGGGCTTTACGCTGGCTGGGCTCTGTCTCTTGGCCTTATTCAGACCTTGCCTCAGGCAGCCTTCCAGATCTCTAAGTCCCCTCAAAAGCCTCCAGGCTCTTTGCGTAGCTTTTCCTACCTGCCCTTGCTTGGGCTGCTTTCTTTATGTTTTCCAAACAAGCAGGATGGTATTTGATAAAAACATGGATTCTATGCAGATGCAGTTGCTAATAAAAAACAAAACAAAACACATGGATTCTGGAGCAGCAGAGATCTGGTTCCAGTCAACGATTCCCCACAGTAATATGCCCTGGGGCAGTTGCCCTTCTGAGCCTTATTTTTTCATCTGTAACATGGTGAAAATACCTATCTTTCAGTGTTTGTATTAAAATAAGAACATGAGGCATATGGCTGAACGGCATGCACTGAGCACATAGCCCTTGCATTGTGACAGTACTCTGTGACACTTTTTACCCAGCAGGATATTCATGTATGTGAAACTGTGAAACACCTTTAGTTTGTGTTCTGTTGAAAACAGAATTTAATTGACTGGGGATAGAGCTGTTGCATTTTGGAGATTTTTGGAGAAAGTGCAGCCTGGTTGTCCGCACTGGAAATTCCCTATCTATCTATCTATCTATCTATCTATCTATCTATCTAATCTGTGTGTGTGTGTGTGTGTGTGTGTGTGTGTGTGTGTGTGTGTGTGTGTGTGT